CAGGTCACCTAGGGTCCTGGGATTGAGCCCCGCATCGGGCTCTCTGCTTGGCGGGAAGCCTGCTTCTCCCTCCCCCACTCCCCCTTCTTGTGTTCCCTCTCTTGCTGTCTCTCTCTCTCTCTCTGTCAATTAAATAAATAAAAATTAAAAAAAATAAATTATATTACAAAGCTGTAGTAATCAGAACAGTATAGTGCTGCCATAAAAAGACACAGAGACCAAAGGAACAGAACCAAGAGCGCAGAAATAAACCATCCATATACTGTCAACTAATATTTGACAAGGGAGCCAAGAATACTCACTGGGGAAAGGACAGTCTCTTTAATAAATGGTGTTGGGGAAACTGGATATTCACATACAAAATAATGAAATTGGATTTCTAACTTACGTCATACACAAAAATTAACATGAAATGGATGAAAGATGCAAATGTGAAACCTGAAACTGTAAAACTCCCAGAAGAAAACACATGGACAAAAGCTTCTTGACATTGGTCTTAGCAATGATTTTTGGATATGATACCAAAAGGGCAAGCAACGAAAGCAAAAATAAACCAGTAGGACTACATCAAACTAAAAAGCTTCTATACAGCTAAGGTAACCATCAATAAAATGAAAACCCAACCTAAAGAATGGGAGAAAACCTTTGCAAACCATTTATCTGATAAGGAGTTAATATCCAAAATATATAAGGAACTGGAAATTCTATAGCAAAAAAACAAACAATCCAATGAAAAAATGGGTGGAAGACCTCAACAGACATTCTTCTAAAGAAGACATATAAATGGCCAACAGGTACATGAAAAAATGTTCAATATCACTAATCATCAGAAAAATGCAAATCAAAAGCACAATGATAAATCAGCTCACACCCGTTAAAATGACTATCCAACAAAACAAGAAGAGATAGCAAGTGTTGGTAAGGATGTGGACAAAAGGGAGCCCCCTGCACTATTGGTAGGAATATAAATTAGTATAGCCACTATGGAAAACAGTATGGAGGGTCCTCAAGAAAATAAATCTAGAACTACCATATGATCTAGCAGTTTCACTTCTGGGTATATATCTGAAGGAAATGAAATCACTATCTTGAAGAGATATTTACACTTCCATGTTCACTGCAACATTATGCACAATAGCCAAGACATGGAAACAACCTGAATATCCATCATTGGATGAATGGATAAAGAAGATGTGATACACACACACACACGGGAGTACTACTCAGCCATCAAAAAAGAAGGAAATCCTGTCATTTGCAACAACATGGATGAACATTGAGGGCACTATGCTAAGTGAAACAAAAGTCAAAGAAAGGCAAATACTGTATGATCTCACTCACATGTGGAATCTAAAAAAGGTGAACTCACAGAAACAGAAATTAGAATAGTGGTTGCCAGGGGATGGTGGTTGGAATTAATGGTGAGATGGTATAAACTTCTGATTTTAAGATAAGTTCTGAGGCTCCAGTGTATAGCATGGTGACTGTAGTAAACAGTCACCATTATTTGCTTGACTATTACTAAGAGTAAATCTTAAATGTTCTCACCACACAAAAAAAGTAATGTGTGCATTGATGGAGGTGTTAACTAACCTTATTGTGGTAATCATTTTGCATTGTATCAAATCATCACATTATATACCTTAAAATTACACTATTATACATATAGGGAAATGAAAACATGTGTCCATTAAAAATTTATACATAGATGTTCATAGCAACATTCTTCATAATAGCCAAAAATGAGAATAATCCAAATGCCCAGCATGGATAATGATGGATAAATAAAATGTGATATATCCATACAGTGTCATATTATTTTCAATAGAAAGGAATAAAATACTAATAAATGCTATACCATGAATAAGCCTCAGAAACATTATGCTAAGTGAAAGAAGTCAGATACCAAACACCAGATATAATTCCATATGTATGAATTATCTATAAAAGGCAAATCCATAAAGACACATGGTAGACTGTGGTCACCAACTCCTGGGGGTGGGCATGGGGAGTGACTGCAAAGTGGTAAGAGGTTTCTTTTGGGGGTGACAGAAATGTTGAAAAATTAGATTTTTGGTGACAGTTTAATAACTGTGTAAATATACAATATCCATTGAATTGTATACCTTTAACAGGTGCATTGTATGGTTTGTAAATCATATGTGAATAAATGTATTTTTTTTAAGGCTTTTATTTATTTCTTTGAGAGGGAGAGAGCGAGATAGGGAGAGAGGGCACAAGCAGCAGGGTGGGGAGAAGGAGAAGCAGGCTCCCCGCTGAGCAGGGAGCCCGATGTGGGGCTTGATCCCAGGGTCCTGGGATCATGACCCTAGCCGAAGGCAGAGGTTCAACCGACTTAGCCATCCAGGGGCCCCAATAAACATATTTTAAAATGAGGCAAAGTTTGCTGGAGGAGGCAGGCATGGTATAAGGGAACTTTTTTTTTTTTAAAGGATGGAAAGGATTTATGTGAATGATACAGGTAGGAAAAGGGGAGGGATCCAGAGTAAAGACAGAGAAAATAATACAAGAGAGAAGTTAGTAACATTGACAAGTCAAAGACAATATAAACCAGACTAAGATCAAGAGTTAATTTGGAGGGGTGCCTGGGTGGCTCAGTTGGTTAAGCATCTGCCTTCGGCTAGGGTCAGGGTCATGATCTCAGGGTTCTGGAATAGAGCCCCAGCTCAGTGGGAGCAGGGAATCTGCTTGTTCCTCTGCCCCTCCCTGTCCCCCCACCCTGTCCCCCTCAGATTCCCCCCCACTCCATTTGTGAGCTCACATGCTCTCTCTCTAATAAATAAATTTTTTTAAAAAGTTAATTTGGAGAGGGAATGGCATGGACAGAAGTTACTTCTGAGGCAAAGTAAAGGAGATGAGTTTTTGTAGATTGAAGAGAAAAAGGGAAGAAAAGTGAGAGTGTTCATATTTGATGGCCTGACTTTTCATGCAAAAGGCAAAGTAACATATTGGAGTGATGAATTTAGTAACTTCAGGAGAATAGTGATGGTTCAGACAACAAATGTGAAGAATAAAAAAAAAAGCTGATTGATTATATGAATAGAAGGATTTTGGAGACATTAAGGGCTTACTTGAGTTTATATCAAATTTGTAGGGCGCCTGTGTGGCTCAGTTGGTTAGGTGACTGCCTTCGGCTCAGGTCATGATCCTGGAGTCCTGGGATCGAGTCCCGCATCAGGCTCCCTGCTCACCGGGGAGTCTGCTTCTCCCTCTTCCCTCTCGTGCTCTCTATCTCTCATTCTCTCTCAAATAAATAAATAAAATCTTTAAAAAAAATGGTAAAGATGGAAAATTTTATTAAAAAAATTAAATCAAAATTTGTAAAGCACTTAATCATCAAGGTTATACATTTTTCTCCAGCAGCTCTAGCTTTCTATGAAACAAGGAGAAAACAACTGATGGGCTAACTGCCTGTAAACCTGTATTTGAACTGATAGTGTACAGGCTCCTGCTAAGGTTGGATGTAAAGTGCAGATTTAATCAAGCATAAAAAACTCAGACACTATTTTGGATATGATTATCACAAACTAAATGATAAATTTCAAGATGTAAAACATATTTTAGAAAAAAACTCCAATTTAATCAGGACTAGACTTAAGTCATTCCAATTTGATTTTTAAGCTTACTGAGCCTCTGTGAGATTTTAGAAGTGGTGCTAAGGGTGGTAATGCTTCCTTATCAAAAAGAAATCTCAGGAAAACCAGGAACCACCTACCATTCTACCAGATGGGTCCGGTAGGAGGTCCAGAATATCTGAACACATGGATGATTGCTGGATATGTAGATTCCTGGATCCTTTCTCACAAACACTGAGTTACACTCTGGGGGTACAGCCCAAACATTCTGTATTTTTAACCAGGTATAAAGGTGATGGTATTGTTAAAATGGTGAAGTTTTTCTAGTACGAATTTAAGCTGAAAGATGATGGTGGGAAAAAGATCAGTTAGAAAAAGGGAAGTGGGGTAATCTTTATGGTTTGGCAAAAAGCTTAAGTTTCTGAAGCATTTTCTGGACTCCATTATTTGGTATGACTAAATATTCAACTCTTAAGTAATTCAAACCTTTTCTTCACATACATTAATGAACTGGTAATTCCAAGAAAGAGGGTTTATTTAATGCGTGCGGAAAACTAAAAGTGATATAAACAGATGCGAAAGGAAGAGAATAACCAGATCTCAGTAAATGTATGTCAAAAGTCACTGATTCTTCTCCGCCTAAAGAATAAGGTTGCACACTAAAGCCCTTAATTACCTTGCTTTATAGGACCAAATTCATGGAATTGTCACTCTTAACAGTTCATAATGCCACAACGAACTTAAAATGTGACCATTAATACTTTATTCTTCGAATATGGTCTCATAATGCTTCGTAAGAAGCATTTTATTTAAGTTGGTTTTAACTACTAAGTTTTGCTTTAAAATAACCTTCCCTCCTTCCTCCCTACCCCCACACAGCTCCCCGAAATTACAAGCTGCAAAAGTTTGAAGTAAATTGTGCCCCTCCCCCTGACACACACACGCACACACCCACTTTTTAACACTGCCCTCCTAGGCCCCCAAACTCTACGTAAGTCCAGCAGAGAGTCCCCTGGGCCATTTTTATCCCCGGCTCGGCCCTAGGGCCCCAAAGCTCAGCCTCCCCCGCTTTCCCCAGCAGTCCTGAAAGTCCGGTCGGGTCCGGACGGGGCGGGGCGGGGCAGGGCGGGGCAGGCCTGCTCCATTGGAGCCGTACTGTGGGGGGGGGGGGGAGGGCGGGGGAGGCCAAGATCATTGGGGCAGTTTCGTGGGGGGGGGGGGAGAAGCAGATAGGACCCGTCCGGCTTCCTTAAAAACCGCCAGCTTTTCGTCCCTGCATCTGTTCCAGGGAGAACGCACCTACTTTACAAGCTAAGTTTTGCCTGACTTGGCGTCTGGAAGCAACAAGAATAACTTTTCAAAAACTTTTGCCAGCTTCTGCTCCCCCCGATGCATAGTTTCCTGATGGTCCGCCCTCGGGCCAAGCTAGGGAAGACCCTCCGCCTCCCCGCCTCCTGTGAGGCGCGCGGAGCCACCGCCTCCGGGTCGGGTCGCAGGGGCGGGAGGCCGGGCGCGCACTCAGAGGCTGCCGCCGTCGTGCAAACCGTCGGCCTCCCGGGCCCCTGCCCCGCGGCAGCATGGACTACCTGACCACATTCACGGGGAAGAGCGGGCGCCTTCTGCGGGGCACTGCCAACCGCCTGTGGGGCTTCGGGGGTGGCGGCGAAGCCCGGCAGGTGCGCTTCGAGGATTACCTGAGGGAGCCCGCCCAGGGGGACCCCGGGTGCGGGTCCCCGCCCCACCGGCCCCCGGCGCCGTCCAGCCCGGAGGGACCTGGTGAGCCCAGCCTTCCTTCGCCTCCCGCGCGGCTGACCCGGGCTGAGGGCTGGGGCGGGGGGCGGGGGGGTGCGGCGGCGGTCAGGGCTCGGGGTGGGAGTGCGCGGCCCTGGCTGGAGCCGGACGGGAACTGGGTGGGCGGGGGTCGCGAGGCCGGACGTTGGCAGGTGTGCCTGGGCGGGAGGCAGGGAGGGGGTGAGGAGGGAAGGACTGGCTCTGCTCTGGGGACGGAAGACTTTCTGCAGTTGGCGTCGTAGCTTTTCCTGCTCTGCTCTTCCTGCTTTCTTCACCTAGACTCGACTTTCTTTACCCCGCCAAGTATTTGGACGGTCTGACCCATTCTTTTTTCCCTCCCATTGGGAGGTGAATGTTGAACCAATTATGATGTCGGTGTTTTTCGTCTTCGAGGTAGTTAAGAACGCCGTGCCGGGTTAGGTGTTTTGGTTTGGGTCAGTGTTTTTATTTGGTATTTTTCAACTGTTAGGATTTACTTCAGCACTTAATAATTACTTTCGAAAAGAAAATGCTCAATTTACACTGGAACCTCAGTTGATTTTTGTGCCATGTACTTTGAAAGGCTGCGTGTGGTCTTGAGATGGCAGAACTTAACAGACTTTCTTTTTCCTCAATGATCACTATACCCACTCTTGTGTTAGTGTTTTTTTTCCATCATAAAAATCGGTCATAACGGCACGATACTGATATCTTATGGCATTTTAAAAAGCGTTCGCCGGAGAGGTGTTGCATACGATAACTTCTCCAGTCATTGGCCTCCTCTAAGTTAAGTGTCAGACCTCTCCTAGTCATTTATATTTTATTTTTGTTGTTCTAGTGTGCATTTTGGTGTTATGAGAGTCAGCTTATGAGCATTAAAGAGTTTAGAATACAGAGAAAAGCTCAGAGTGTAAAATCTATCCATAACCCCACATTCTGCCATTCATTTTAAAGCAGTGAAACAGTGGAGACATCTCTTGACCTGTGTGTAGGTGTGTAATTTAAACTTTGAAGAAACTTGAATATTAAAATCTTAATTTTAGCATGGCCCCTTTAAACAATTTTTCCTCACTTTACATGTCTTTAGAATTCCTGTTTATGGAATTAAATGAAAAAGGGGGGATTACTATATTTCTGCTTTGAAGTGTTAACCAGATGCAGAATTCTCCTAAAGGTGGGACCAAGGATGAGGACTAAACCTTTAAAGTGTTTGAATAAAGGATTTCTAAAAATGAGTCTTTAGTTGCCTAATTGAAAACATGATAGGTGACCAGCCTCTAGATAGATGGAGAATTCAGAAATATGTGGTGTAACTTAACAAGGAAGGAATATAATCAGTATTTTAATGAGCCCAAACATATACATCGGATGCATTCATTCAGAAACACTTATTGAGCAGGCTGTTGTATCTGACACTGTCCTTCAGAGTTGCTGTTATAAAAGTCCTCTTCTGCTGCCTTATCAACTCATGGCACATTGTTTAATATTTATGGTGACCCCAGATCTCTGACACAAGTTAGAGAGGCCTTGTGATGTCCCAGTTATGACCACAGTCAGGTGGGCAGGTACATCCTGTCATTCACTTGCTGAAAGAATTTGTACATTTACTTAATCTCTTTGGGCCTATATTTTCTTGTTTGTAAATGAGGCTGATTAGGTAATCCCAGAAGTTCTCAATTTTAGAGCTCTTTTTCATTTAGAACACAAGTGGAAGTGGTGGGTGGTAAAGCTAGAAAATACCATTTGGGTGTAAAAACATTGTGGGTCTATGAAGTTATGCTTACAGAGTTCTAAAGCCAGTTCAGGAAATAAGTGCTCCAGCAATAATTTGATCACCATTTTTAAAATAAGTATAGCTTCTAGATCGACTCCTTTGAGAGGCAACATGTGTATATACAAGTGAAAAGTAGATGGTGCTTTATTTCTAGTTAGCTTTTGCTTAAAATGAGAACCTTTTTTTGCAGCTGCCTACCCAGTGGATTTGGCTATAGGATTTTTCATTCTTTTTTTTTTTTTTTTGTATTTGTGTCTTTCAGAATGAGTATGAGTCTATTTGAAAGATTTCTTTTGCTCTTTCTGCTTGTGACTACCTTTATTTCAGATTTTTATAACAGCTGCTTAAGTTTCCTATCGTCTCTCACCCTTCCTTCAATTCTTTAAAATGTCCTGTGTGCTATTGCAGTATTTCTTGTACGGACACGTCCATGCTTGTAAATTGGCTGCACTCCAGGACCCCGTTTGTTGTAGTGATCTTGCCCCATTTTGGGTTCAGTAATGATGTTGATAAAATAGCTTTGCTGTTGACATATTAAGGATGAATTAGATAAAATTTTGGTCAAATGTTTTTGGTTTTTTATAAACAAACCACTTACTGTACTGTTAGTGTTACTAATGCCTTTACTCCTCTCCTAGGTGGCTGCTTTTGTTTTCTGACTCCCAACTTTATATAGTTCCCCCCAAGAAAACCATAATTGGGAGTTAGACACTTTAAGGAGCTTATCACACCATTGCTTTAGTTAATAACAATTACAAAGAAAACATAACTCAATTCTTGTTTTTGCCTAAAGAGTAAATTGTGACTTGATTCGAGAAAAATTTTTGGACCTTACAGCTCTTGTTTAGGAGCATGACCATAAACCTATACTATGCAGCCTTTTTTTTTTTTTTTTTTTCATTTTTTAAAATTTAAAATCAATTAACATATAGTGTATTATCAGTTTGACGTAGAGTTTAATGATTCATCAGTTGCATATAACACCCGGTGCTCATTACATCAAGTGCCCTCCTTAATGCCCATCATCCACTTACCCCATTCCCCAGCCCCCCTCCCCTCCCCAACCCTTAGTTTGTTTCCTATAGTTAAGAGTCTCTTATGGTTTGTCTCCCTCCCTGATTTCCTCTTATTTTATTTTTCCCTCCTTTCCCCTATGCTCATCTGTTTTGTTTCTTAAATTCCACATGAGTGAAATCATATGATGTATGTCTTTCTCTGACTTACTTCACCTAGCCATTAAAAGTATTCACTTTACTGGATCATATAGTAATAAATAAGTAGATTTATCAAGTTTAAGTCTCAACTTATTGTGATTGGTTATTATCATAAACTACCCTGCTATGTCAACTCTGTTTTCCCACTTGGTGACAGTATACTTTAAACGCATCTCAGTTCTATATAAAATTTATTTTCATTTAGTTTTAGTGATTAAAACATTAGCTTTCAGGAGGAAACAGCAACAAAAGTAATAGTTGCCAGGAACATTGGGCAGGCACTACCAAATATTTAATCCTAATAACAACTCTATAAGATAGATACTGTTATCCCATTTTTCTGATGAAGAAACTGAGCCAGACAAAGAAATAAGGGATGTAGAATCCATTTGAGTGTTATCTTCATATTTCTAAGAGTGATGGCCCTGTCAGACAGGAAAAAAAAATGTGAGAAGAATGCAGAGCTCTATCATATATGATGTTAAATTAAAACAAGTTAAATGAGGTAAAGGGTAGGATGGGTTGTCATTGAAGCTTAGAGTTAGGTATTAAAATGAGCTAAAAAAGCAAAATTCAGTGAAGATGTTAGAAAAGTTATATTTTACATTAGAAATTGCAGATGCTGATTATCTGTAAGAGTTAGATAATTTATTTTGAACCCATGAAAAACCAAGTGGCTCTAAAGATTTGAAGGACCAATTGTTGCAGTAACTATTAAAAAAACCCCAAAACTCACAGTGTTGGTCAGTGGAGAGTGACCCTAGGTGTCCTACAGTTTTAGTCTCATTTCTTTCTTTTTTTTTTTTTTAGCAAGACCCTCAGCAGGTTATTTTATTTTATTTCATTTATTTATTTACTTTTTTATTCATTTGACAGAGACAGACACAGCGAGAGAGGGAACACAAGCAGGGGGAGTGGGAGAGGGAGAAGCAGGCTTCCCACCGAGCAGGGAGCCCGACACGGGGCTCGATCCCAGGACCCTGGGATCATGACCCGAGGGACTGAGCCACCCAGGGGCCCCTTTAGTCTCATTTCTTAAGGTGGGCAGCGGGGTGGATGAGGGAAAAGAACCTCATCTTGATAAACAACCTCAGGCTGCTCTCAGGGTAACTGATGGTAAGTTTTTCATATTGTTTTCTTCTTAAACATGAGGTAGATTTCCCTATTTTAGAATTGCTGCTCATCTCACAGGACCACTGAACTGAAGTCTTTTGTATTATCTGTGTTTTCGGACAAAACTGTCTCTGAATATTTGGTGGTACAATAAAGCAATGATTCTCAGACTTTAATGTGTGTCAGAATCACCTGAAAATCTAGTTAAAACAAAAATGATGGGCTCCTTCCCAAGAACTTCTGATTTAGTACTTCTGGGTACTAAATTTGCATTTCTAACAATTTACCAAGTAATACTGGTGCTGCTGGTCTGAGGACCACACATTGAGAATCACTACTTTCCTTAATGGGGCTTTTATCCATGGTAAGATTAGGAGTAAATATAATTTCATTTATTAAATGCTTAGTATTAATATTTTGAATTAAGTTTAGGAATGATCAGTGTATTTGGTCTTTACTGTGTTTTTTGTTTTTTGTTTTAAGATTTTATTTATTTGAGCGAGAGAGAGAGCACAAGGTGGGGGAGAGTGGAAGAGGCAGAGGGAGACACAGCCTCCCCACCGAGCAGGGTGCCTGATGCGGGGCTTGATCCCAGGACCCTGGAATCATGACCTGAGCTGAAGGCAGACGCTTAACCGATTGAGCCACCCAGGCACCCCTAAAATACTGTGTTTCAGGGGCACCTGGGTGGCTCAGTCATTTAAGTGTCCCCTTGATTTCAGCTCAGGTCATGATCTCAGGGTCATGATATCGAGCCCCATGTCAGGCTCCACACTCAGCACAGAGTCTGCTCAAGATTCTCACTCTCTTCTTCTGCCCCTCCCCACTTCGCATGAGCACGCTCTCTCTCTCAAAAAAAATTGTGTTTCAGAGAATTAGGCCTATTAGAATACATACAGATTGTCTTTATTTATTTATTTTTTTAAAGATTTTATTTATTTATTTGAGAGAGAGAGAATGAGAGATAGAGAGCACGAGAGGGAAGAGGGTCAGAGGGAGAAGCAGACTCCCTGCTGAGCAGGGAGCCCGATGTGGGACTCGATCCCGAGACTCCAGGATCATGACCTGAGCCGAAGGCAGTCGCTTAACCAACTGAGCCACCCAGGCGCCCTACATACAGATTGTCTTTAAATGCAATTTAAAATGAGTATTTGTGTAATTGTTTTCTAAATTGAAAGGTGCAAGTATTTGGCTAAATTTAGAAACTATGAAAATATTTAGAACTTAATTATACTTAAAACTTTATTCTAATGTATTTACCTACAGTTACATTCTTAGAAAGGTTTACTTTTTAGAGGCAATTGAAGTGTTTAAAATAAAATATAGTGAATTTATAAATACAGTTTAATGTATGTGAGAAAATTTAATTACCCAGGTTTATAAATAGGATTATTTAAGGATATTTAGTTTGTTTTCTGTTTGAGTTGATCAGCTATCAAGAGTACCTTGGGAAGTGTGTTAGGAGTTACTAGATTTATAAATAAAATGCACTTGATAGTTGAAGGCTTAAGAGAAAGCTAGGTTTTTATATTTGTACTTTAATAAATCAAACATTAATTTAAAAAAATAAAGTAACTGCAAATAGTTTTTTGTTTATAAAGCCTCTCTTCATGGTCACCAACAAACTTAAGAGACTCCTGATAAATTTTGTTGAACGAAAAGGGGGCATGTATTAGGTCAAATTCATGTGTTAGAGAAAGGCCAAAAATTTGCCTTTGTTTTCTAGCAGTCAGTGAAAAAAGGGAAATGTGATCAGACATAAATCAGCATCCCTAAGATAAATCTGTTGCCTAATCAGGCAGGAGAAACCTGAACTAAATTTTTAATTTTCCCTAATTTAAACTAAAGTAACCACATATGCCTGACTGCTATCATATTGGACAATGCAGAAATAGAGTCTGGAATCCAAATTCCTTAACACAGTTCCTTACTATTTACATTTCAAGTGCTTAAAAGCCACATTTGCCTAGTGGCTACTATAATGGATAAATAAATATAGAACATTTCCACCATTGCTGAAAATTCCATTCATTGCAGGAATATCACTATTGCTGATAGAATAATGAGAAAAAATTCTCATGGGACTCTAATATAGCAAAAAGTATCCTGACCATCTTTATAGTAAATATAGCCTCTAATTTCAAAAAGCTACTTTTTAACACCATTCTTTAGTGTGGTTTAATGGTTTAACAACAAAGTTAATAAAAGCAGTTCTGACAGGGCCAAAGCAATTAATCCAGATAGTGTATCTTAACTGAGGGGTAGGTGCTAGATTATACAGATTTTAGATCATACAGTGAGGGCTCTGGATTTTAGATTTCTGGCACAATGCTACTCAATAGAATTTTCTACAGAAATAAAACTTTAAGTAAAATTAAAAATTTAGTTTTCAGCCTCACTTGCCACATTTCAAGCACTCAGAAGCCTTAAGGCTGGTGGCTACTATATTGGATGATGCAGGTATAAACTTTCTTTCACTGCAGAAAGTTTCATTGGAGAACACTCTTCTAGAGCAATGGGTCTCAATACTGGCTGTACATTAGAATTTCCTGGGTAGATTTTTTTTTTTTTAATTCTGGTTTTAAGGCCCCACTCTTAGCATGAGATCTCTACGATTTGACAATAATCAAAGATTAGATCATAAATCAAAATCTCTTAAGTTTAGGACTTCAACTAGTTTTTTCTCAGGTGATTCTAATATATAGGTAGGGTTAAAAAACACTATTTCCCTCAATACTGTTTCTCTCAATCAAATTACTGAGCCTCATTGGGTTTTTGTTTATTTTTTGTTTTTGTCTTTTTTCTTCACAAGCACTGTGGACATGCACCTGTTTTATAATTCAGGTTGTGAAAAGAGATGCATGTGTAAATTGTATGGCAGGGGCGCCTGGGTGGCTCAGTCGTTAAGCGTCTGCCTTCGGCTCAGGTCATGATCCCAGAGTCCTGGGATCAAGCCCTGCGTCGGGCTCCCTGCTCATCGGGAAGCCTGCTTGTCCCTCTCCCGCTCCCCCTGCTTGTGTTCCCTCTCTCACTGTCTCTCTCTCTTGTCAAAAAATAAATAAAATCTTTAAAAAAAAAATTGTATGGCAACCTCTCAATAGGACTGAGACCTTAGGAAAAGTGAGGTGACTATGAAAAGTTCCTGAAAAGAACTTGAAAGAGAAATGCTGAAGATAGAATCTTAGTATATTTGCTTCCAGTCTTTTATAAGACATTTTTTTTAGTAAAATTCATGTATGCTAACTATGAAGTCATATATTGCAGAGATTAAAGTTTAAAAGCCACTTCCAGCTGTGCCCCTGCCAAGGCTTATATGCAACTGTTATTACTTTAATTATATATATGTATATAAAAAACCCACTATAAATCATTATTTTTCTAGACAGTCAACATTCACTTAGTTTTACCCTCATACTTACCATTTTTACTGCAACTCTGGGTACTTTTACAGAGTAACAGAATTCTAGGTTGGCAGATATTTTCCCCTGCCTTTTAGTTTATTGTTTCTGTTGGGAAATCAACTGTCAATTTTACAGCTACCTCATTAACTGTTCTGATTGCTTAAAAAATTTTTTTTTTTTTTTGTCTTTGGTGGGATTTGTACTGATTCCACTAGAGGTTTGTAGGTTCCTCAAATATATAGTTAATTGTAATCAAATTAGATAGGTTGAAAGAAATGATCCATAATTCAGTTTTTAATAAAACTTAATAATCCATGGGGTGCCTGGGTGGCTCAGATGGTTAAGTGTCTGCCTTAGGCTCATGTCTTGATCCTGGGGTCCTGGGATCGAGTCCCACATCGGGCTCCCTGCTCAGCGGGGAGACTGCCTGTCCCTCTGCCTCTCTCTGTCTCTCATGAATAAATAAATTAAATCTTTAAAAAATAAAATAATCCTTTCGCTGACCGTTGCTTATGTTTTCAGTTGACTTCCTTTTTTTTTTTTTTAAGATTTTATTTATTTATTTGACAGAGACAGACACAGCGAGAGAAGGAACATAAGCAGGGGAGTGAGAGATGGAGAAGCAGGCTTCCCGCTGAGCAAGGAGCCTGATGCGGGGCTTGATCCCAGGACCCTGGGACCATGACCTGAGCCAAAGACAGACGCTTAATGACTGAGCCACCCAGGCGCCCCTTGAGATGACTTCCAGTTATTATAGTGTCTCATACTGGTCAGTTCCTAAAGCAAGCAAGCAAGAAGATACATTTCCTTTTTCAACAGTTGGTTGCATTTTAGAGCAGAGAATCTCAGGGAGCAAGCTGTAGTAGTACTAAGTCTAGTAGATAACTGCCCAATGAGCTCTAGTTAGCAAGTCCTTGACATTGCTCTGAAAATAAAATGAATTTAATAGGAGTTTTACCTCATTTTCTTTCAGACACCGGCCAAAAGAAGACCTTAGACAAGAAAGATGGGAGACGAATGTCCTTTCAGAAACCTAAAGGAACTATTGAGTATACAGTAAGTTATTTGCTTTTGAAAAGGCTGACTTGTCTTTGCAAGAGTGTTACTTAAGACATTCTTCATTTATACTATAATAAAACAAAGATTGTTAATTGCCTTATTTCAAAAATACTTGCCATTCAGTAACTGTTTTATTAATAATACTTAAGTTCTTAATTATATTTTAGGTTTTATTTTTCCTTAAAGAGAAATTTTGTGTGATAGAAAGACAGTTATCCCAGCAAGTTTAATTTGATATAGATGGTAATTTATGGGGAGTCAAAATTCCTGTGTTGTAATAATTTTTATTAGATTAGGCTTTTAGGAAAACATTTACTCTTTTAGAAATGTGATCTTCATTATATTCCCAGCAGTGTTAAGAATAATGAAAATGGCAGATAGAATACTTAAAAGATAAATTGACATTTATCTTCAAGAATAACCTCTCACATCATGATTATTTGCACTGATTTATGGCTGTTTGTTTGGCTTTGAAATGGAACTATTTTCTGTGTTTTTCAAATGACCTTAAAATCTCTCTGGCGGTCAACTTTTTACATTTCTGGTTACTGTGGAAAACTGAAGTGAGAAATCCACTTTAGTCTATGGTGTAATGCTTACCTGATTATATATAAATATTGTTTATTTACATAATGTTAACAAAATTATAAGCAGTTTTTTAACTGACCTTAATTTTGTGTTTTGTGTTTTTCTAATATGTTACAACTGCATTAAGAAGCAAATAGCAGTTTTAAACAATCTCTGCATTTGTGTCATCATGAAACCTTCCAGTCTTGGTTTGATTTTGATTATTTTCCATGTATCCTTAAAATTGGAAAAAATATCAAAAACTTGGTTTACTCTTTATTTCTATATGTTGTATAATTGATAATTTGAGATTTTAAGTATTTTTTTAAAAAGTTGGGAACCAGATATTTAGGGTAGAATTATTTTTACCATCAAAAGAATCTTAAAGTATATTATAAGCTTAAATTGAGTGTACTTATACGTTCTTTGCATGATTGAGAAATTGAGAAAATAAGTTCAAACAGTAAAACAATGGGTCATGTTATTTGATGTATTCATTAGTGTTTATTCAGGCATAGGATTATAGGCATGAGGCATAAGATGTTATTTACACATGTAATCATGTGATTGTGAAGAATTGTAGATGTTTAGTTCATTTTGAATTTAGGAGTTTACCATTATTTTCTTGTAATTCAATAAAACTTATCTATAACAAAATTAAATTTAAGAACCATTATTTTATAGGGGGGTAATTGAAACTTGAAATTATATTTTTCCTTAATGTTACAATTGACCTTTTAGAAATAATCAAGTATTAACCAGAAAAGTTATAAAATATCCTCTTTCAGGTCTTTGTTTAGACTTTTACGCCCTATTTTTTAATTATTTGTTTATTCCCTATGCCAAATCCTAGAAGAAAGAAAGAAGTGTATTTCTAGAACTGAGTAAGATTTTATTGTCTTATATTCTGTTCTTATTATAGTTTTATAAAATTTTCATATAACATCTTTATATAAAGTATTTATATAAAATGATTTTTATATTTAGGAAAAAATATATTTCCTCTCTATTTCTCTTAAAATAAAACTTTTGATATCATAATGTACTCTCAGAATTTGTTCTGAAATATTTATGATCTAGCTTAAATATATTTCCTACCACCTAAGTATAGTGTAAATCAATCATTGTATTTACATAGCTTTAAAATTAGTCATATATATATATATAAACACACATACATAGTGTTTTTAATTATGAAATCACTTTCAGTAGGAATCAAAAGTAGACCTTGAAAATGCTGTACATTATCATCTTCTTCCTAGTTAATATTTGTATACCTTTCTAATGAAAGAGCCTTTTCCAAGGGCACTAATGAATTTCTAATTATCAAACCCAGGGGCCTTTCCTTTGTTGCTTTTTGCTCATTGTTCGTTCTTCCTGGTTTTACTTTTCTTAACAGTTGTTTTCAGTGAGGATCTGGGAGTGGATAATCAGGCAATGTCTGAAAGTCTTCACTGCACCCTCATTCCTGGTAGTTGACCTGTCTATAGATCATCAGGTTGACAGTTGTTTTCTGATAGAGCTTTCAGTGTTGTAATCCGTTGTCTTATGTCCCTCTGTTGCCTTTTTATTTTTATTCATTTCTAGGCAGTCTTCTCTTTTTAAGATTGTTTTTGGAGTTTTCCCTTTTTTCTTTACAGTTCTACAGTGCCATTGTGGTAACTCCTGATTCAGACAAATTTTTACTTACTGTGTTTCTTCAGTCTGAGGAGTATATCATTCATAGTTCTGGAAGATTATCACCCATCATTTCTTTGAGTATATCTCCTGTTTTCCCTCTATTTGTTCTTGAAACTAATTGGACTACATTTTGCCGTCATTATGCTTCATTGCCCTGGTATTCTTGCTGTCAATTTTACTCTATCTTCCATCTCTTACTGGCTGTTCTATTCTTCTTGATTCCAAATGTAAGTGGTCCCTTGTTTCTTTTCACTTTTCCATTTAAATTCTATTACTTAGAGATCTTAAGAACTTTACTGTATAAACTATGTGGAGTGAGACTCCAATTTTTTTCTATTCCTACCTTTCTAGATGCTTGTATTTCCTGCTTTCATTTGATACTTAACAAACTGTAGCAAACCTTTTACCAATTTTCCATTCCTTGTCCAGTGCTTGATTTTCTTATTTTCATTTCCCTTCAGTCTGTTATTCATCCAGATTGGAATTTTGAGATTCAACATCAGTTGCTTATTACCATTTGCTCCCCTGACCTGCTACTGCTATGACTACCATCGTCACAACCTCATTCATTCCATGATTGCTTTCTCGAGTCTTATTTGGAAACCTTATATACCTTAATCTCTTTTTACATTTCTGTTACTTTTAACCTCATTTACTGCAGTAGTGTTAAGTTGATTTTTCTGCATTTATTCTCTTGCCTCATTAATCCTAGACCTGTTATCACTTAGGCCATATAACTTCTTTGCTTTATAACTGTTGGCGTCTTTTATTACTTTCATCACCCCCATTTAATAGGATCATTGTGAGGATAAAATGTGAGATAATATGAAAGTATTTTGTAAACTTACAGATGTTACTGCAAAATAAAATTTGTTTACAGAGAGCTTCTACGTATATTATCTCAATAGGGTAAGTGATAGATCATCTCATTACATAGATGAGAAAGTTTGCATAAAAGGAAGGAAACAGAACTATTCAATTATTGTCCCATGTATTTGTCACAAATTTGGTTTTATATAACCCTTAAAGGAAAACTATATATTTATTGTTTTTTTACATTATATACATACCTGTTTTTCTTGACTTTCAAAGTCTTCTGCAGCCTAATTCTAAATGCCTTTCCAATCTCATCCTTTTTGAGAATTAACTCTAGTTACCTTCCTAAAATCCTAAACTCATTAGTGTACGCTGGGTGGTTTGGGGAGGAAGAAATAGTATCACACAAAAAGTATTTTGTACTTTTCTGTCTCCTAACATGTCGGTCCTATGCTCTTCACTTTGAATGTTCTTTCTCTTCTCTCTACTTCTCAAATTCCAATCCTTCTTCAAAATCTAGCTTTTAAATCGTTTTAATATAGTCTTTCTTGGACAATCTGTAGCAAATATGGTATACTATCCATACTCAGAACTTGTGTTATATTTGTTGTTTCATTTAAATTGCTCTTCATCTCATATAATCTTTTTTTGTCTTTTCCTATTTTCCAACTAGATTGTAAATCCTTTGTGCACTAAAAGCCATTTAGTTGCACTTAATTTTATCCTACACAGCTGTCATAATGCCTTATGTATAAGAGGACTCCAAAGGAATATGACTGATCAAGTGACTTTTTCTTTCAGGGTAATTGGCAAAATCCCATAATTTAAGATTTCTATAAATAAAATCATTAAAGGATATTAATGATTTAGAAGCAGATTGCCAAATTTTGGTTCAAATATGTTTTCTGATTTATGTATTTAAATGATAGGATGTATACGTAAAGATCGTTAGAATAGCATTTTCAGGTTGATACAGGCATACTTTGCTAAAATAAAATTTGTGTGTTTCTAGGTTCCATATGTTTTAGAAACTATTTAAAGGAATAATATATTTTAGAGCCTTTGTAAAATAAAAATCATTTTGTGTTTTGTATATTATATTTTGTATTTGGAAATTACTTGAAGTAGAGGCCCACATATAATTGTGATATACTATGATAAAGCATATACACTGTATCATAATAGGTTGAGGCCATTTGCTAACAAAGCACAAAATTTCTCAAGTTAACCTATATCTAAAGATGGAAAATACCACTTGTTAATCAAATGTGAGATTGGTCCACGGACGTCTTCATAATATTAAGCCTCATAATTTAGTTTTGTGTTTTAACCGATTCAAATAATTTATTTTTTCTTTCAAACAGGTTGAATCAAGGGATTCTTTGAATAGTATAGCCCTGAAATTTGATACAACGCCCAACGAACTTGTTCAATTAAATAAATTATTCTCCCGAGCAGTTGTTACTGGACAGGTATCTTTTTTTAATGCATTGGTGTTTAGAAGCATTCAGTAGCAAGACAGAAAGTATCCACTGCAGTATAGTTGACAATAGAAAATTTAGGAATAATTTTATGCACGCTTTGAACAAATCATATTGTCTCTAGAAGAGAAAATGGTCACTTATACCTGTATTAATTTTTCTTAGTAATTGAAGATTACTAAGATTGAAAATAGTTGTGAATTACCTTTTCAAATGTAATTTTAAAGAGCTTATTACAATATTCAAAGCAATACATGTACATGATAAAAAATACAAAATTATCCCATCTCAGACTTCCAGTTTCCTTTTCCAGAAGCAACCACATTAACAGTTTGTATCCTCTTCCAGAAATATTTTAGCCTTTCCCTTTTTTTTAAATTTAATTTTATTAAAAAATGTTCTATTTAAGTACGGCTTGACCTCAGACTTTTTCGTGTGTAGGTGGTATTGCACTATATTGATATATTAACAAAGCACAGTAAGCTTTAGACTGTTTCAGCTCCTTTGTTATTATAAACATTCCTGTTGGGAACACTCTTCTACATCTCTTTTTTTTATATGCAGGCATTTCTGTAAAGTCCTAGAAGTAAAATTGCTGAGTTAAATGATATGTGCATTTTAAATTTTGCCAGCTATTACCAAATTGTCCTCTAAGAGTAACACCCATAGTACATGAGAATTACTGTTTCCCCACCCTATCTTTGATAGTACTTATTATCAAACTTGTCTAAATTGAATTTAAATCTTTTTTTACTTTGTTAGAATTATTATGGTAATAAATATTCTTTTAATTTGAAGATTTTTATCTTTTGTATTTATTGGTGAAGATCATTGTTAATGGTACTTGCTTATAGAACACCATTCAATTATTAATATTTCAGTTTGACTGAATCTTTATGCGAATGCTTTCTTGCAGGTTTTGTATGTTCCTGATCCTGAGTATGTCTCTAGTGTCGAGAGCTCTCCATCTCTAAGCCCTATAAGTCCTCTGTCACCAACATCTTCTGAGGCCGAATTTGATAAGGCCACTGTAAGTGTCCCTACTTTTCTCAGATAGCTATGAAGAAATGTCACTGTATATGTGTTTATCATCATGCTTTTTTATCCTGCTTTGACTATGGTTAAGACAAAATTTTCCCTTTTTATTTTGCTACATAAATTTATAAATTTCTGTTTTTAAAGGGAACATTCTTATTAAACCAGACAGCTTAAATTAACTTACTGTTGTTATTGGTGGTGATCCAGATATTCATCAACTCTCTCTTATAAATACCATATAATAATTTAAGGAAGGAGTTTTACCTAATAAGCATGACAGTAACATGATAGGAAGTCCATGTCCTGTTTGATTTTTATTTCAGTTTTCTCTGACTATTTATATAGTAGTTAGAACTCTTGAGTTTCCTTTTTTTTTTTTTAAGGTTTTGTTTATTTGAAAGAGAGAGAGAGTGCACAAGCCAGGGGGGAGGGGGAGAGGGAGAAGCCGACTGTAGGGAGAAGCTGAGCAGGCAGTCCAATGCGATGAGGGACTTGATCCCAGGACCCTGAGATCATGACCTGAGCTGAAGGCAGACACTTAACTGACTGAGCCACCCAGGCACCCTTGAGTTTATTTTTGATATACTGCCTTTTATTTATTTATTTATTTTTATTTTTAAAGATTTTATTTGAGAGAGAGAGCATGAGTGAGAGAGCAGAAGCAGAAGGAGCAGCAGAGGGAGAGGGAGAAGCAAGCTCCCCACTGGGCTGGGAGCACGACATGGGCTCGATCCCAGGCTCCTGAGATCATGACCTGAGCTGAAGGCAGTTGCTTAACTGACTGAGCCCACCCAGGTGCCCCTGATACACTACCTTTTAAAAAAAACTTGTCATCTTAATCATTCTTCCAAGTATTCTGAGTAATTAATAGTGGATTAATTTACCTAGCATTTTTAAGGAATGTTCTATATAAGTTACATTTTATAAATGAATTCTAAAGAACCAAACTGTATTTAATAATTTTGATTAAAATCTCTCTGAAGGGAATTACATTTTTTGCCTTTTTTATGTAAATTAATACTAATCATAATTTCCCATTTTTTTATGACCTAGTGATTCTGTTTACACATAAAAGGCTATTCCTCTCTTAAATGGCTAGATTACTGTGGGAGAGTCGTGTGTGTTGCCTTGCCTACTTTAGGAGGCATCCTTTTTTTTTCTGCCCCAATTTGCACTCAGAATTTAAGTTACCAAATGACCTATGGGTAACAAAACACAAATCATTAATATTAACTTGCCTATAAATTATTAGACATTATTAGTTGCTAAGCTCTAGTATTGAACTAGCTCCACTTCTTTCATGGAGTAAAGTATATGATATACTGATAACTATTTTTCTCCTTGCCCAGGGACTTTTCGTGTGTGTTTGGGTGTGAGACAGTGAAAGAAGTGGGGTCATTTTCAAATATTTATTTGTTGGATATCTTATTTGTATAAATACATCAGCACTGTACTTTAGAATGCAGTCACATGAAAGGAATATATTACATTTTTCACTGTTGATGATAGCAGAAGTCAGGTTCTAATGAGCTAGACCAAATGATATAAGAATATGTTTTTGAACATGGTCGTGCCATTGTCGCATGACACTTACAAATTGCTGTACTCATAAGCAGTGCAACAACAAAGGAGAGCAATGTAGGCTTAGGTTAATTTACTTTCTTTTTCAAACCTTAAAGCAGAATTGTGAAAACTTAACTGTGTAGCATCCTGCCTGATTAAAACGCTGTGGGGTCCTTTTCTGTCCCTCATCTTTAACCCAAATATTACCAACTAGCTTTCTTGAAGGCGTAAGATCAAAAAAGAAGAGAATGCTAAAGCAACAAAGCCAGGCGTTCTCCTATGTGAAAATGCTTTCTTCCTCACTTTTGCCATGTTAGTGGAAGAGAGGGAAAGAATAATAAAGCTATATGAATGACCTTTTAATCTGTAGCTACTCAGCTGCTGCCAGAGATGCCCAGAAAGTATCCTCTAATATGACTGGTCATATTAATAGTATCTCTGATATGACTGGTTATATGAGTACATTTTTTTCTCCCTAGGATGGATCCAGAAAGGAGTTAAGAAACATTGAATTCTTGAAGTTTTCCCTTTCCCTGGATGATAGTCATCACCTGCTATCTGATTATAGGCAATAGTTAGAAATAATTCTTTTGAACAGTAATTTTTAAATTTTAGTTGTATTTTGTTTTTTACCTAGAAATATATTCATTACTAGATTCACAAGATAAAATATTCCTGTATAACTTTCTACATATCTCTAGTGTTTATATCTCCATATATAATTATTGGATTTAGGTCTCCCATTCTAAGTCCCTTAGAAGCAAGGATCTTATATTTTATTAAATATAACTCATATTTGTATTAGAGTAATTAAAATGTTTATTAGTATTGTTGCATGTTTTTCCAGAAGTTGTCAGAGTTTCTATTTCTAATAATCATCCATAGGTTTCTTTGATGTTCAGCTGTGTAGTGGCTTACCATAGAGGCTAAACTATTATGTTCCTGGCTTTGTTAGCATAAAGGATTCCAGTGGGTTTTTTTGAATAATTTATTTCCACATAAAAATACTGTCTTTAAGAATTTCCAGGGTCAAACAGTTTTTACCCATTTTTTCTTCGCATATTGAAGAAACATAGAAGGATGTAGAACCAATGTAAGAGTAAATAAATAATAAATGGCTAAAATTTACCATGTGTCAGGTACAATTCTAAGTACTTTAAAAGTATTGTCATTTATTCCTAACCTCAAACTTAGGAGATATAGCACTTGTCCTGGCTGTTTTTGTTTTCTCCTCTAGACCCATTCTACACCCTCCTTTGGGCTTTAGAGTACATCAGTGGGTTCCCCTGACCTTTTGCTTCTCTTAGTTTTGGTCTTTCAAGAGTATTGGTAGAAGATGAGAGAAAAGGAGCAAGAGGGGGGCATATTTATTCTCTTAGCTCCCTTCCTGCAAGGTCACTTCAGAGTGGCAACATGCTTCAGCCTCTCATCTCATCAGACACAGAGCCTGCTGTCTCTGCGGTATCTGTTTCTCCCCTTTAGGCCTGTGGGTGATAAGGACTCCTCTGTTGTTTGCCCTGAATTTTCGTATACAGTGCATAATATCTTTGTAAATAGTTCCATTTTTAAACTCTTTAAATTCACTCAACTTGATGTGCCATCTGTTTCTTCCAGTACCTGACCAGTAACAGTGTTTATTTTACATATAAGGAAACTGAGGCAGAGAGGTTAAGTGTCTAAGTTCCTTCTGTTAGCTAGTAGCTGAGTTAGGATTCCAACCCAGGTACTCTGGTCCAGAGCCCATATTCTTTATTACCACTTTATAGCTGGAAAAATCATAATGTATAACATTTAATCATATTGTACAAAAAAAGACCATAAGTCAACCTTTTTGCTTCACTTGTTCTAGTGATGCTTTGCTTTTGCACATTTGAACATTTGGGGCAATGATTGAGGCTCATTAGATAAATATCTATAATTCTGTATTTTTAAGGACCTTTCTGTCCCTATTAGCTAAAACAGAATTGCACAAAGAAACCTCAGAAAGCACTCAGGAGCTTCAAAATCACTGCATTAAGAATCAGAATCTTTATCTATAAACACCAATCAAAACCAGCTACATAGAGATACTGATATTTTGGGTGCTAATGTACATGTATGTAAGTTAAAAAGAGATCTAATTACAATCCCTCTGAACGTTGCTTTTTTTTTCTTTAAGAAATGTACACTTATGTTGCTTATGTGCTATACTTCGAGCATTTACTAAGCTCATCTCATGTATTCTTTTTATTTTTTTAAAGATTTTATTTATTTGACAGAGAGAGAGTACAAGTAGGCAGAGCAGCAGGCAGAGGGAGAGAGGAGAAGCAGGCTCTCTGCTGAGCAGGGAGCCCCACGTGGGGTCAATCCCAGGACCCTGAGATCATGACCTGAGCTGAAGGCAGACACTCAACGACTGAGCCACCCAGGCGCCCCCTCGTGTATTCTTCTTAATAGGATTACACTGACAAATCGGGATTGCTATAGATACTGAGTATAGAATTTGAGACTTTGAGGGAACCTAAGCGATCATATTGTTCAACGAGGTATATCTTCATGTAAAGAAAGCATTTGACAGTGTTTCTTGATAGTTTCTGTGAATGATTAGGTTACATAGTAGGTAATGTTGTCAACTGGCAGTAACTGAAGAGTCATAAAATTTGTTGATAGCTTTGTGCCAGCTTGCAGAGGGCCCTCCAGTGGCTCTGGAATTGGCTTTTATTCCCTTCACACATTTATCAATTGTTTAGAAAAATATTTGAAAGGGGAGGTGTAAGTATTGCAGTGAAGCTCACTAGTTCAAGTGTTGATAATGTGGCTTTTACATATCAGCTTCATCTTACTCATTGGGCAAGTTACTGAACTTGGCGTTTTAACCATAAGTGGCCTTTAAAATTAAGGTAATAATGTATATACCTAATATGAATGATTTGAAAATTAAATGAAATGGTTCATATAGCACTTAAATATAACAAATATTCATAAATGTCCATTAATATTATTGTTACTAACATCTCCTTTTAAATGATCTGTGCTGAATGAATTTATGTATCATACAAAACTCAAGTATAGTAATTACCAAAGACAACAGGATGAGTATAAAGTTACTAGTTTTTATCATAAAATGAAAAGATTGAGAACTTTGTTAATAGATATTAAAGATTAAACAGTGTCATGCATCTGTTAAAATCTAATTCCGGATAGGTTTTTTAAGGTATAATTATAGTATATTAAATATAGTTGTTTTGCAGTATTCTGTACTGATCTTCCTTCAAAAAATATCTATTGGGTATCTATTAGAGAGAGAATGAAATTTAGAAAGGAAGTCTAAAATTTTGTCCTTGTAGAGACTTAAGGAGTTAGATCCATTTAGTGAAGTAGAAAAAGTTATGTTAAAATTTGAGAGTGCTTTTCAAGTATCTCAAAGTCTTTGAGATTGAAGAGGAGGCATTCTTGTTTATTATTTCAAAAGGCCAAGTCAGAACTATTGGGTATTTGTCACAAAGTGCCGGATTTTAGCTCAAAGCTCTGAAGAACCTTGGTACTATGAAAACTATTCTATAAGGCACTGTTCATTTACTCAGGAATTATAAAATGTCTCTGGAGGTATTTAAGACAAAGAATAAAGGACATTTGTCTAGCCGTCTACATTGTATAGAATGTTGAACTTTGGGGGGACCTATGAGTTCTAAGGGGTCTGTGAACTTGGATAGAAACAATTTTAAGTGAAATATAATGAAATACAATATTTTTTCAAATTAAGAATATAAACAAACTGTAGAGTAGCACCATGCATACCTGTGACTTTGTCCCCAATAGAACTCACAGATATTTTCAAATTGTTTGAGTTATAGATATCAAAAATACTGTTTATAGCCATATAGTTCAAAATTACAATGATCAGTCAACACTAGGTTTTATTATTTCATGTTTAATAAGGAAGGATATATGTATCAACTATATTTAACTATTATAACTATGAATAAAAATTGTAACTAATTTTTAAATGTTTTGATAATTGTGTTTCATTATAATAGTTTTTCTTTGTAATCCTATATTTTAAGTATTCAAAAAACATTCTGAGAAGGAGGTCCTTAGGCTTCACTGTGAGAATGGTCCATGGCATTAAAAAAAGTCAAGAATCTGTGATCTAACCAATTAATACTTTTTACAATGGTATTGATAAACTCCTTGTAGCTTAACATTTTAAATGGCTCTTCCAGTGAAATGAGTTTGGCTGAATTCCTAAGTATCACAGATAAGCACTCCATCTTTTCTCTGCTCCCAGCACCTGAGGGATATATTAAATGGTCTTTTCAGGAACAACTGAGTGTGTGTGTTTGTGTGGTGTGCAGGTACAAGAGATACAGTTTTCAGTATTTTCCAGATGATTCATAAATATATATCCCATTAAGAAATCATTGAAAATATAAGTTTTAAGCTCTGTTAGAGATCTTTATTGAATGTGAACACAGTGCCATTCTTTCCTATTTCTTTTTAACGTAAGATTATTTTGAGGGGTGCCTGGGTGGCTCAGTTGGGTAACCGTCTACCTTCAGCTCAGGTTGTGATCCTGGGGTCCTGGGATCGAGCCCTGTGTCAGGCTCCCTGTTCTCCCTCTCCCTCTGCCTCTCCCCTCTCCCCCCCCCACACTCTGTCTCTCTCTCAAATAAATAAAAATCTTTAAAAAAAAAAAATATTTTGAGCTGACCTCCAAGAATGTAATGAGAATAGGGGAAAGCTATTCATTTGGCTTTAATAATGTGCTAATTTAATTTTTATTTAGTTCTCTGAAGTGCCTTTATTATTATTATTTTTTTAAAGAATCCTGATGTAGTCCACCTGAAAGAAGCAACTCCCTTATCTACTTTTACTGGTATTCGACCTGCACGAGTTGTATCTTCAACTTCTGAGGAGGAAGAAGCATTTACTGAGAAATTTCTTAAAATTAATTGCAAATATATTACCAGTGGCAAGGTAATGAATAATACTTGAGAAAAAATTTTTTATCGTACTTTATTTATTACTGAAATATGACAATTTGGCATTTGCATTTTAAGTTATCAACATCAGCAACTGATTGAATATTTTAAGAAGATATTGGTGGAAATACTAGTTTAGGTTGGTATGGACTTTGCTTATAACTTAGAATCTGGTGGTCTTTTGCAGTTGTTAAAAGCAATGGGATATAAATTTACTGTAATAAAGTACAGCTGATTTGCTATTGGTAGAATATTTCAAAAAGCTGATATAAAATGACCACTGCTGGGCACTATTTGGAGTGATAACTCTTACAAACTTGGTATAACACGCAAAAGGAAGATAACTACTATTTAGTATTTACTATATGCCAGAAACTATATGAAGTATTTTAAGTATTTCATCAACTCAAAATAATCCTATGAAGTTGGTGATTCTACTCCTTCTTCACAGGGAAAACAACAACAACAACAAAACTTTCAGAAAAGGTTAATAAGTCCAGGGTTTCTCTATCATGGCAAGAATTCAAACCCAGTGTGAGTGCATGTTTCATCCTACCAGACCTTGCTGCTTTTCTAAACAAAGAACTTGTAGTGTGCAGAGGGAGTATAGTAAAGTAACACAGAATTGGAGAATAAACTCCAGATATTGTTTAGAAAGTGACTGTATTATATTACCAACTTAAGTCACACATGGTTTTCTTTTTCTCTTCTAACCAAAGATGTTTCTTTCAGAACTACAATATTTTCTGACTTGCACTGTTTTCTGAAGAGAAGTCTTCTACAATTTTTGTATTTGGTGTTTTGTACATTTGTGTTTTCTTTGGTTGCATTTAAGATAGTCTCTTTCTCTTCCTTCAAATTTTTATTTAAATTCTAATTAGTCAACACACAGTGGAATAGTGGTTTCAGGAGTAGGATTCAGTGATTCATTACTTACATACAACACCCAGTGCTCAACATGACAAGTGCCCTCCTCAATAGCCATCACCCATCTAGACCTCCCCCCCACCTCCCTCCATCAACCTTCAGTTTGTTTTCTATCTTTAAGAGTCTCTTATGGTTTGTTTCCCTCTCCCTTTTTTTTTTTTTTACCCCCATCTGTTCATCTGTTTTGTTTCTTAAATTCCACATAAGTGAAATCGTATTGTACTTGATCTTCTCTGACTGACTTATTTTGCTTAGCATAATATACTCTAGCTCCATCCACATTGTTGCAAATGGCAAGATTTCATTCTTTTTGATGGCTGAGTAATAGTCCATTGTGTATACCACATCTTCTTTATCCATTCATCAGTTGATGGATGTTTGGGCTCTTTCCATAGTTTGGCTATTGTAGGTAATGCTGCTATAAACACTGGGGTACATGCACCCCTTTGAATCTGTATTTTTGTATCCTTTGGGTAAATAGTAGTGCAATTGCTGGATGGCAGGGTAGTTCTATTTTTAACTTTTTGAAGAACCTCCATACTGTTTTCCAGAGTGGTTGTACCAGCTTGCATTCCCACCAACAGTGCAAGAGGGTTCCCCTTTCTATGCATCCTCGCCAACACCTGTTGTTTCTTGTGTTGTTAATTTTAGCCATTCTGACAGGTGTGAAGTGGTATCTCATTGCAGTTTTGATTTGTATTTCCCTGATGATGAGTGATGTTGAGCATGTTTTCATGTGTCTTTTGGCCATTTGTATATCTTCTTTGGAGAAATGTCTGTTCATGTTTTCTGCCCATTTCTTGATTGGATTATTTGTTCTTTGGGTGTTGAGTTTGATAAGTTCTTTATAGATTTTGGGTACTAATGCTTTGTCATTAGATATGTCATTTGCAAATATCTTCTCCCATTCTGTAGGTTGCCTTTTAGTTTTGTTGATTGTTTTCTTTGCTGTGCAGAAGCTTTTTATCTTGAAGTTGCAGTAGTTCATTTTTGCTTTTGTTTCCCTTGTCTCCAGCGACATGTCTAGGAAGAAGCTGCTACAGCTGAGGTCAAAGTTTGCTGCCTGTGTTCTCTTATTGGATTTTGATGGTTTCCTGTCTCACATTTAGGTCTTTCATCCATTTTGAATTTGTTTTTGTGTATGGTGTAAAAAAGTGGTCCAGTTTCATTCTTCTGCATGTTGCTGTTCAGTTTTCCCAACACTAGTGTTGAAGAGATTGTCTTTTTTCCATTGGGTATTATTTCCTGCTTTGTCAAAGATTAGTTGATTGTAGAGTTGTAGGTCCATTTCTGGGCTCTCTATTCTATTCCGTTGATCTTTGTGTCTGTTTTTATGCCAGTACCATACTATCTTGATGACTACAACTTGGTAGTCATGTAGTGATGACTGTAGCTCGAAGTCCAGAATTGTGATGCCTCTGGCTTTGCTTTGCTTTTTCAGGATTGTTTGGCTATTCAGGGTCTTTTGTGATTCCATACAAATTTTAGGATTGTTTGTTCTAGCTGTGTAAAAGATGCTGGTGGTATTTTGATAGGGATTGCATTAAATATGTAGATGGCTTAAGGTAGTATAGACATTTTAACAATGTTTGTTCTTCCAATCCATGAGCATGGCATGTTTTCCATTTCTTTGTGTCCTCTTCAATTTCTTTCATAAGTGTTCCGTAGTTTGCAGAGTACGTATCTTTGAGAGTCTCATTATCATTGATTTTGAACCATTGGGTTATGATGTGCCTTGGTGTATTTTTCTGTTTGTTTTGCTTGGGATTCACTCAACTTCCTGAATCTGTTGGTTTATAGTTTTCATCAGATTTGGAAAATTTGGGGTCATATTTCTTCAGATTTTTTTTCTCCATCCTGTCCTCTTCTTTGGGAACTCCAATTATGCATATATCAGGCTGCTTGATGTTGTGTCTCAACATAGCTCATTGATACTCTGTTTTTTTTTCTTTTTATTTTGGACAATTTCAGTTGCTATACCTTTAAGTTATTTAATGTTTTGTCTGCCATGTCTAATTTGCTGCTAATTCTATTGAGCATATTTTTCATCTCTGTAAGTTCAAACTGGCTCCCGTATATCTTCCTTGTCCGTAGCTACCATGCACAATCTATCCTATATTCTTGAATATATGGAATATAGTTATAGTAATTATTTTAATGTCTTTCTACTAATTAATTTCTCTCTCTCACTTCTGGGTTTCTTCCTGTTAATTGACTTTTCTCATTGTGATGAGTCACTTTTTTATTTTTCTTTACATGCCTGGTAATCTTTAACTGGATATCAGATATAAATGTTATTACCTTCTTGGGTGCTGCATATTTTTATATTTCTCTACGTATACTTGTACTATTTTCTGTAACACAGTTGTGTTTTAGAAGCAGTTTGATCATAACATAGCTTGTTTTAAGTTTTGTCAGGCAGGACCAAAGCAACTATAGCTAGTTTTTCCCTTTACTGACACAGTGCCCTTCGGAGTTTTCTGGGGCGCTGTAAATTATAAGGTTTTTTGCTGTGGTTGGTAAGAATACAAGCTGTTCCTTTCTCTGTTGACTCTATGAATTGTTTCCTCTGCTTCTTTTGAGTGCTGCTGCTTTTCTCATCCTGGAATAGTTGCCATACATATAGGTAGCATTCAGTGCTCAACTGGAAACTTGAAAGAAGGCCTTCTGTGGATCTCCAAACCATTCTCAATTGGGAGTGCTCATCTCTCCTTTCTCTGCCTCTGGCCTGGAAACTCCCCACTCAGTATGCTGGAGCATTTATAGAGTTCATGTTCTTTGTTTTCCCTTATTCAGGTATCATTGTCCAGCATTCCAGTAGCTGAAAATAGTCATTTCATGTATTGTGTGTGTGTGTGTGTGTGTGTGTGTGTGTGTGTGTGTGGCTTTAGTAGTTTTAGGCAAAATTAGTTCTTGGCTAGAAGCAGAATTTCAGTTGTAACCATTTGAATAAAATTTTTGTTTAAGTATCAAAGCAAAGATAAAGTCATTGGCAGGCTTAGGAACAGCTTACAGCCTGGTGTTCTTGGAAGGTAAACATTTGCTGGAGGCTGGCTCTTCCTATAGATTTATTATAATAAAGGTTATTTATGTAAAAATTGTGGAAATTTATCAACAAAATTATAATAGGTTACAGTGGATTTAAGACTAAAAAAAAAGATCAGTAAAAGCTATTCTCTCTGCTGGGATGTATTCCCAAATCATAGTTTTTTATCTTCTAGTATTTACAGAAATATTGTAGTCTGAGTGGTAACTTTTACAGACAGACTTTATTTTCTTTTTTTTTTATTACGTTAATCACCATACATTACATCATTAGTTTTTGATGTAGTGTTCCATGATTCATTGTTTGCATATAACACCCAGTGCTCCATTCAGTACGTGCCCTCTTTAATACCCATCACCAGGCTAACCCATTCCCCAAACCCCCTCCCCTCTAGAACCCTCAGTTGGTTTCTCAGAGTCCATAGTCTCTCATGGTTCGTCTCCCCCTCCAATTTCCCCCCCTTCATTTTTCCCTTCCTGCTATCTTTTTTTTTTTAACATATAATGTATTATTTGTTTCAGAGGTGCACGTCTGTGATTCAACAGTCTTACACAATTCACAGCACTCACCATAGCACATACCCTCCCCAATATCTATTGCCCAGCCACCCCATCCCTCCCACCCACCACCACTCCAGCAACCCTCAGTTTGTTTCCTGAGATTAAGAATTCCTCATATCAGTGAGGTCATATGATACATGTCTTTCTCTGATTGACTTATTTCACTCAGCATAATACGCTCCATTTCCATCCACATCGTTGCAAATGGCAACATTTCATTCCTTTTGATGGCTGCATAATATTCCCTTGTGTATATATACCACATCTTCTTTATCCATTCATCTGTCAGTGGACAAAAGCAGGCACTTTGTTTTCTAATAGAAATAATTTCTCCATGGAAGATTAGTCAAGTAATTGCACATAAGGAATTGGCAGTCACTAATACTAAAGAGAAATCTGTGCTTAAAGTTTCTGAAGGTCATATGGATTAAGAAGATATTTTATCTTCTTTTTTTTTTAACATAATGTATTATTTGTTTCAGAGGTACAGGTCTGTGATTCATCAGTCTTAATCCACAGCGCTCATAGGAAGGGAAAAAATGAAGGGGGGCGGGAATCAGGGGGAGATGAACCATGAGAGACTGGACTCTGAGAAACAAACTGAGGGTTCTAGAGGGGAGGAGGGTGGGTAGATGGGTTAGCCTGGGGATGGGTATTAAAGAGGGCACGTATTGAATGGAGCACTGGGTGTTACACGCAAGCAATGAATCATGGAACACTACATCGAAAACTAATGATGTAATTTATGGTGAGTAACATGACATAATAAAATTAAAAAAAATAGCAATGCTCAACAAGGCACATAAAAAAAAAAGATATTTTAATTAGAAACTGCTTCCTATAATACATTCTTGCTCCTGATAATACGTTCAGATTTATGAAACAGCCTTAAAAAGAGTGAAACAGGAGTATTTTAGTTTGAGTTGATGATTTTAAACTTGGTCTTGGTTAGTTGAATTTGAGCAGTTACTTTGTCAAAAGACTTTTGTGAATTTTATGTGGAAGTAGTGTTTTTCATGGCCAACTCTTGATTTAAAGAGAATAACATCTGACAGAATACCTCAGAGTCCCACCTAGAATCAGGGAAAGAAGCTTGAAGAATACATTAGCACATCTGCAATAGCAGCAAATAAGGGTGAATTCCTGCAAAGTAACATTACTAGATTGGTCAGACTAGTGTTAAGAGGTAGGGCTCTTCTAGTCTAAGAAGTGGAAGCACAATTTTGAGAGGCTTTTCAAATTATTTTTGTAGTTACACTACTAAAAGTAGCAGTATTATAGTATTAACAGGTATAGTGAATTAATGCATTATCATTAATACTGGGCCTGCTTTATCTTATATACCTAGTAGTCATTATCTTTGCAAAAATATTCTGAAGTGAAAGATAATATGTAATGTTATGCCAGTGAACCTAATAATATACCATTATTTAAAACTAATGCTTATATGAAATTTATGAAACCAAGAATGAACTGAGGTCTTTCAGAGACCTGATGTTTGCTTTCCTTACTTCTTACTGATTACTTGGTTTTATTTCTCAAATAATTTAAGTTTATAGAAGGTGAGATAGAGTAAGGGAAGATAGAGAATCAGAAACCTTTAAGATTTTTTACATTGTGTATACTCTACTCTTGATTGTCTATTTCTTGGATTGTCTGTAGCAATGTAAATGTCCCCTACAACATACCTCACCATCTCTCTTTGACTTGTGTTGGCATATGATCCAGGAATACAACCTGATTTATATGAATCTATTTAAAATATCCATTAAAATATGATCAGGCCATCATTTATATAGTTACTCCTTATTTAGGTAGTCCCTGGTCTGAACTAAAAAAAAAAATGCTGTTTAGAGTTTCAGATCGATTCCCTTTTTCCCACCGAAATGCATACACACATGCATATGCTTCTCTCCAATATTGCATGCAGTTACTACACATGATAAGCATGTTTTATTATCTTGAACATCTGCAGTAACTTTCTCCCAGATGGGTGACCAAAAACTCTCCCAGAGTTTTCTGTTTTTACTCTTGATCATTTTTAATAGTAGTGTCTGTCATAACTTAAGTTTTATGTTCCTAAAAGTTAAGCCAGGTAAATTTACAGAGCTGAATGTGGATTTTGAAGGAGGATGTTACACCAAATCAAGCAAGATTTATTTTCTTTTCCTTAATAGCTTCAGAAAAAAAGGACAGCTGTGAAGTAACTATTTAGTTTATTTTTAGAATTCTGTATGGCTCTTCATTTTTAAACTTAAAGAATATAATAGAATAGGAGTTAAAAATTGGATTAAGGAATATATAGCACCTGAGTTGGAGTGACTGTGGTTTAGATTCAAATGTGGAGGGCCTTTAGACAGACTGCCTGGATTTTGAATCTTGGTTCTACCACTTATGTTAGCTATGTTATTTATTACTTAAGTTTCCTAGCCTCTCACAACCTTAATTTTCCTGTTTGTATAATCATCTCATAGCTGTGCTTGTGAAGATCAAATGAACAATAATGTATGTAAAGCGTGATACATACAAAGCTTTCAATAAGTATTAGCTAATAATTAGTGAGATTGGCTTCCTGTGGACTTCAATTTGCTCATTTCTAAGACAAGAGGCTGGACTCTTCGTATTTATATTGCTGTTTATATAAATGTATTTAAAATTTCATAACTTGTCATGATTAAATTAAAAATGATTACTATATACTCTAGAAGTATCTAATTTACCTACTCTTACAGATGACAGCACTGAGGGCCAGAAGCTTTACATGCCCAAAGTCAAATAGCGAGGTAGTTAACAGAGTCAGTTGAAACAGAGATTTTTTTTAAAAAAGACATTTTAAAGAGATTATGCTATTTTTCTTTTAAACTGGATTGAATTATCAACACATTATTTATTAAACCTGTCTGTGTACAGGAAACTATATTTGGTACCTGTAGTGAGGGAACAACACAGGAAGCAGAATGCAAATTAATGTAAAACATAATGAAAAAATGTTTTCATGAGAATGTCTTAGTGCTTGGATATACTACTTTTATATATAACAGATGGCCTAACATCTGAAGAAAATTAGTAAAAACAGCTAGAATACTTTTTGAAAATTTGAGCATTAAATGTCATTTTCTTTTTTCATCTTAGGGCACAGTCAGTGGTGTGCTGCTAGTAACACCAAATAATATAATGTTTGATCCACATAAAACTGACCCTTTGGTTCAAGAGAATGGCTGTGAGGAATATGGCATCATGTGTCCAATGGAAGAGGTGATGTCAGCTGCAATGTACAAAGAAATTTTGGATAGCAAAATAAAGGAATCCTTACCCATGTAAGATTGGTATTTATACTCCTTTGGCATTTTATTACATCTTGATAGTTGACCCTGGTTTAATACTCTTAAGTATTTTTCTTTTTACTCTTAAGTATTTTTTATTAGTTTTATTAAAACTGCTTTTCATTTTATCAGCAATGAAAAAATATAGTATTGAAAAGATTATTTTTTTTAAAAGATTTTATTTATTTTTGGACAGAGAGAGAGACAGTGAGAGAGGGAGTGCGAGAGGGAGAAGCAGGCTTCCCGCGGAGCAGGGAGCCCGATGCGGGGCTCGATCCCAGGAGCCTGGGATCATGACCTGAGCCGAAGGCAGACGCTTAATGACTGAGCCACCCAGGCGCCCCAAAAAGATTATTTTTAACACACCTTGAATAGTTAGGAATTGTTCTGGATTTATATTTGTATATTTCGTAAGGGAACTGGATATTTAAAAGTAACATGTAAACCTTATTTAATTTAATGTTTACCAGCCCTTTTTATTCAAACACGGCATTCAGATTTTTAAATTATTTCTGTGACTAATTTAAGGTAATATAAGTAGACTAGGGTAGCTTTCAAATTTTTCTTAGAAAAGCCTGAAGAGTCTGGTGTGGGATTTGAGGAGATCTCAGGAGCATCCTTCCCTCGGTTATCCTTGAAAGAGTTATGCTTGGAATATACTGGTCAAGGGATTCATGTGATTCAAATAACATAGCTGTGAGACTGCAGCTCAGCACAGCCTTTGAAAGTAATGTGCTTGACCAAAGGAATGACCAGAGAGAAAAGGGAGGAATAGGGCGCCTGGGTGGCTCAGTTGGTTAAGCGACTGCCTTCGGCTCAGGTCATGATCCTGGAGTCCCGGGATCGAGTCCCGCATCGGGCTCCCTGCTCAGCGGGAAGTCTGCTTCTCCCTCTGACCCAACCCCCTCTCATGCTCTCTCTCTCTCATTCTCTCTCTCAAATAAATAAATAAAATCTTTAAAAAAAAAAAAAAGGGAGGAATAAAGAAAAGGAGAAGTATTCAAAGAAAGGAATGACAACAGAAAAGAATACTCCCCATTCCTCCACACATATTTTGTCAATAGTTTAAAAACTGTCTTCACTTTAACTTTATTAGCCCACAGGGATGTGGATCATTGTTTGAAAATTAACCCTTGTGGTAGAGAACTGCTTACATAGAAGAGCAAATTATTTTTGTTTCTGAGGCAGAGTACATGAGTTGTTAGGATACCTGTGGTAGAATAAAATCCCTTATTCAGAAAGTCTCCATTATACCTTCCATCCAATAGATATTATTTTGGCTTGGTAAATTCATCCGTAGAGGTGCAGATAATTCCTAGAGTATCTTCTGTGTTTGTTATTTTTATAGATCGTCATCTAAAGTCACTTTCAGGAAATAAGTATTGTTGGGATGGATGAAAGGATGAGACAAAGGTGAAGGAGTAAAGGATTAGATTAAAAAAGAAATAAGAATATATATATATATATGTTATATATACGTGCATGTTGTCAGTCACTGTGAGATTCACTTTCTGTTGCCCTGCTTTTCTGTTTGTATTATGATACTTTAGGATTCTCTTATGCTGAATGATCTGTAAGTATTCCACTAGGATGCTGTAGGGCTCCTCTTCTTGCAAATCACTGTTTTATTATTTAGAATGTCCCTGGAAAGACCATGCATTTGATCCAACCATTTAAAAAAAAATTCCTCCAAAAAGAAGTATCTTTCAGTCCTGCCTTGTGAATTAATTAAAAACACTATTTGGCAGCAAATTAGATAAATAAAGCAAGTAATTTTGCAGAGAAATGTCATGTGTAGCAATACTGAGGCATAAGATTTGATTGATTTTCTTCTGTCTTCTGCTTGGAAAGTTGATTTCAAAGGTATTGTTCTAGAACTGTGTTAAGCAGTAGCAACATCATTGGCATAAATACCTAGTTTCAGCATATTAACTCTGAAGGTTTTACAGCCCTTAATCAAACGTATGTCTTCTTACATTTGTTAACTTTATCTCTTACCTAATGGTCTTCTTAAATGTACACATACAGTTTCTCAAAACTTTTGCCTTTTGCCATGTTCCAAGATCCTATATTATGCAATTTGAGTGGATCACCAGTAGATGACACTATTACATTTTTAATAGCACAAATTAAATGTTTGTGTTTCTTATGGCGAATCAGATGCAAGGGAGACAAGACAGACACGAATTGGAATTCAGTTGATAACTTTTTAAAAAATAAATTTTTACCTATTTTAGTTATAAAGTGTTATGCATACTCGTTATATAAAATTTGAAAAATACTACAAAGAAAGAATAAAACAGGAGAGTTCCCCAGCTTCACCATCCAGAGACAGCCAATTATTTTTGTTTCAACTTATCTCCTATTCTTAAACTTACATAAACGTTAGTAGTTTTTCCACTAAGAACTCATGTTAATTTCCATTTGTCACAAACTATTTTTAACCATCACTTTAAATTTCTGACTTTCATTTCATGCTTTATATAGATGTTTGTATTGCCTCCTTCCAGAATTTAAACTAACTTTGAACATTAGTGCTCATATATATAAATGCCATTAAACATGGAAATCTTGATAGAAATATGAACCATTCACATATCTAGTATCTAAACCTTTAGCGGAACAAGTTCTTTCTGAATTAAGAGTTGTTGCTGGTAGCCTAAAGAATTACTATAAGTATTTTTGCCTCAGTTTTATTCCAGTTGGTCTTCAGCTTTGCATTTGAACTGCATGTTTTAGTGTAATCTCTATTTAAATGTAAATGAGCACTGTGTGTTTGTGTGTGTCCATGTATGTAATATCAATGTATTTTTTCTTAAGAAATTTAAAATTTTAATCAAAATTTTATCTAAGCTTATTTTCCATATTCCTGTAATGAATAAAGTTTAGTGTAGAATTATAGCTTCACCCAAAACTTACATTTCCAACTTCTTTTCAGGTAGATTAATTCAGGAAATCTTCTGTTGATGTTTCCCAGATCTCAAGAAATCATTGCAAAGGCTTGACTTAATTACTTGGTCTATCTATTTAAATCAAATTTTTGATACGCTATTGAGATATATACTATACCCTTTTCTAGAAGCTTTTTTAGTGATAACTCATTCAGTGTTACGTTTGTGGGAAATAAAATGCAATTTAAAAAGTAACAAATTTTAATTTTGTTTACTGGCAGAGAGATAGATCAGGTATCAGGAAGGGACTTTTGCCACTTAAAGAAAATGACGAGAAGTCATACTGATGAAATAGACTCCAGAGCCCGCGATGCAGGTAACGACAGTGCCAGCACGGCTCCGAGGAGCACCGAGGAGTCTCTTTCTGAGGATGTGTTCACAGAATCAGAACTCTCTCCTGTCCGGGAGGAGCTTGTCTCGTCAGATGAACTTCGACAAGATAAGTCATCTGGTGCATCATCAGAATCTGTGCAAACTGTCAGTCAGAGCGGCGTAGAATGTTTAACAACCATATCAGAGTCTACTAATACGCCTGATCACTTAAAATCTGATCCTGGACATTCTACAAATGAAGTTGGGACTACTTCTCTTAAAACAGATTTAGATAATCTTGAAAGGGCCACTAAGGAAGATCAGGCTACAGATAATTTTCAGGAAATATCAGGCCCTAAAGAACAAAGCACAAGTATAAAAGGTAATACAGACCAGGATTTTCTTCTGAATGAGAATTCACTACATCAAGAAGAGGGTAAAAAAGAAAGTATGCCTTGGGGGGAAGCAGCAGATTATAAACAAAAGCAAACTGTCAACAAAGGAAAACAAGGAAAGGAGCAAAATCAGGACTCAGAGACAGAGGTAGAAGAGCTACGGAAACTCTGGAAAACTCATACTATGCAACAGACTAAACAGCAAAGGGAAAATATTCAACAGGTGTCACAAAAAGAAATTAAGCATAAAATAGCAACTGCTGACATAGAAGGTAAGTGTTAAGGAATATATAAAGTTAATTCATCTTACTGCATATTGTCTCCCTCTTTCCTCACAGACTAAAAAGCTGCTGTATCTTAGGTCACTCTGAAGGAAGATCTAGTGGCCCTTGACTGACGTTTCTCTGGGGATAAGTATATGGTCTCTAGTTCCTAGTCTAAGGTTTCTTCTTATCCCATGGTGGATTGTACACATCATGAGCATCTTTTCCACCATCTTTAGATACTCCTGACTCAACTGTGTTCTATCTTTAAATGATTTCTTGAAAATGCACACAAGCTCTGTAATACCTTTGATTTCTCCATTTTCTCTTAATTCTTGGTGTGTTACCTCATTAAAATTTTTTACTGCACATAAGATATTGTACTTGCAGTTTGTAATTGCCAAAGTTTGTAATTCTACCTTTTTTTAAAAAGTGCAATTAGACATAAAAATGTATTTCTTAAGTTATTCCAAGTGTCCAAAAGTTCATCATTATCTGATTAAACGTTTTCCTTTAAAAAACACCAAGGATAAATGAAAAAACCATTTCTCTTTCAGTTTTGGTTTTTAGTACTGTTTACTTATGAAAATTATAGTAATATACTATGTTGTATTTCTAATATACAGTAGCTTCCCCTTAATACATAATAGATTAAATGGGGTGTAGTTCAGGTATCTTAGCTAACATTTTTATATTCTATTAAAATACTGATTCCAAATCAATCCAGTTTGCATATGAACTTTTTAAATTAAACTCAAAAGTAATTTATTGCTAAAATATACATAAAATTGACCATAGTAACCATTTTTAAGTGTAAAACTTAGTGGTATTCAGTACCTTCACATTGTTGTGCAACCATTACCACCATCCATTTCCAGAACTTTTTCATCTTTCCAAACAAACTGTATCCATTAAGTAGTAACTCCTCATTCTTTCCTCCCCTTCCACCATTCTACTCTGTCTCTATGAACTTCTGTCTCTCTACATAAGGTGCCTCATATAAGTGGTTCATACAGTATTTGTTCTTCTGTGTGTGGCTTATTTCCCTTAGGAGAATGCCGTTAAATTTCATCTATGTTGTAGCTTGTTTCAAAATTTCCTTCCTTTTAAAAGCTGCACAATATTCCAGTATACAGTTGACCCTTGAACAACATGGCTTTGAACTGTGCAGGTCCACTTATACATAATTTTTTAATACAGTACAGGACTGTAAATGTATTTTGCTTCTTTATGATTTTCTTAGCATTTTCTTTTCTCTAGCTTTCTGTATTATAAGAATACAGGATGTAATACAGCATACAAAACATGTGAAACATCTGTTTATGTTATTGGTAAAGGTTCTAGTCAACAGTAGGCTATTAGTAGTTAAGTTTCTGGGGAGTCAAAAGTTATACTCAAATTTTTGACTGTGTGTGGGGGGGGTCCATGTCCCTAACCCTTGCATCATTCATTGGTCAACTTTACATACCACCACATTTTCTTTATGTATTCATTTGTTAATGTACATTTGGATGTTTCTACATTTTGCCTATTGTGAATAATCCTGCTATGAACATTGGGGTACAAATATCTGTTCGAATCCCTCCTTTCATTTTTTTTGGATATATACCCAAAAGTGGATTTGCTAGCTCCTGTGGTAATTCTGTGTTTAATTTAATTTTGAGGAACCCCCCCCAAGCTTTTGTATATTATATTATATTGTATATTGTATATTATATTCCCACCAGCAATATACGAAAGTTTGGTTCAATTTTTAAAATACCTGTGGTGGATTTTCTTTGCACCATCTTATTTATTTATTTATTTATTTATTTTTTAAAGATTTTTTATTTATTTATTTGAGAGAAAGAATGAGAGAGAGAGAGCACATGAGAGGGGGGAGGGTCAGAGGGAGAAGCAGACTCCCTGTCGAGCAGGAGCCTGATGCGGGACTCGATCCCGGGACTCCAGGATCATGACCTGAGCCAAAGGCAGTCGCTTAACCAACTGAGCCACCCAGGCGCCCTGCACCATCTTTTTTAGATATCCTGATGATATTTAGTAGATGTTAAAGAATTAATTTACTCAAAGAAAGTTTTATAAAAAATTGAATAATTCTTTTGTAATACCTTTTTCTTCAGAACTAATGAATGTTCATTAAAGAACATTTGACAAATACAGATTTTTTTAGAAAATGTATAAAAATTACCTGAAATTCATCAATGAAATAATCATTATTAACATTTGGTATATTTATCTTTGATTTTTGGTGTATATGTGTATATACATACACATTTAAATACATATATATACAGTTTTGGTATTTGTATCTATACATACATATTTTTTATATAAAGTCAGGATTATACTGTTGTATCCTTTTTTCACTTGACATTTTATGTCATGAATAATTTTCTATGTCATTATAGTTTTTTTGAAAATATGGCTTTTAATGGCCCTGTATTTTAACCATTTCCATACTGTTAATACATTCAGTTGTTATTAACAATTCGTATTGTTAAGCTGTTTCCTATCTTTGATATTGTAAAGAATGCTGGTATGAGTGTCTTTATTTGCTATCCTTGTGTCTGATGGTTGCCTTATATTTTGAAATCTTTGAAAAAAATGAGGGGTTCTGTTTAACCTAATAATGTGGTAGAATGCTTTCACTTACTGGGTTTGTTGGAGTATGGGATTAGTTGGGGAGGGAACTCCTATTATGACAAAATACTAAAGGAGAAAAATTGATAAGTTTAGATATAGGTGTACCTGTATTATCGTTTGAGTTCTTTTTGAGGGGGGAGGGAATGAAAATTTGTTTTAAGTAACTAATTTTAAGTAACTTGAGGTTCTGTAATAGGGAAATATTACGCATTTCTGATCTTTAGTGACCTTATAACAAAATGGTTTAATAAATATACAATTGTGGAATATAATTGTGGGGAAGATGGTAAAAGTTCACTCTTTTAATCAGATGTAAATATTGAGGCTCAGATAGATTTATGCACCTTGCACCATACTGTACAGAAGAAAGCCATGACTAGTACGCAGTTATCTTGATTATAAATAAATGCTTTTTCTTCCACAGTATGCCACCTTCATAAGCTAATAATATCCAGAATTCTGAATTCAGTCATAGTGTCAGACCCTCAGTATACCTTATGTCAGTATCTCTGTTTGGAAGAGTTAGAGAAAATCATAATAAACTGTCCAAATAGATGGCTGAATCCAGGATATTGTTGATTGTTTTATCCTACCTCATATATATGGAAAAGCTTCCAGAAACATTTTTTATTAAATTTTTGTCTGTAATAACTATTACATTAAAGTAAACCTTTAAAGATTCTACAAATGTGTTTTGATGTTATTCTAGAAGTCTGATAGAGAATATGAAGAAAATTATATATGTGCGTGTAATTAATATAGTTGTTCCAAGCAGAAATTTAATGCAAGAATTCCTAAAACTTTCCCTTTTTTTCCTGATATGCTTAGACATAATTTCAGTTCATAACTTGGGTGCTAGTTCATGAATGCCGTTGGAAGAAAATAAAAGTTACTTAAGAGAATTTTTCTAAGTGACTGTCAGTAAATTAAATTTTATTCTGTATTAACTTGTCAGAAGTGTGGAGGTAAACATAAACCAAATTGCTTAAGCATGGTGTATGAGAATTGAATGAGCTCTGTTTGTATCTCATTTCTAGGTTCTGCACTTTTAAGAGAAAAGAGGCGGCATCGATTACATAAGTTCTTATGTCTCAGAGTTGGAAAACCAATGAGGAAAACATTTGTATCTCAAGCAAGTGCAACAATGCAACAGTATGCACAGAGAGATAAGAAACATGAATATTGGTTTGCTGTGCCACAAGAAAGGTAAAAAGACTCAAAAACGTTATTGAGATTCCTTGAATTAAAATGATCTTATAAGGATGCCTGGGTGGCTCAGTCGGTTAAGCGTCTGCCTTCGGCTCAGGTCATGATCCCAGGGTCCTGGGATCGAGTTCCGCATCGGGCTCCCTGCTCCACAGGGAGCCTGCTTCTCCCTCTGCCTCTGCATCTCTCTCTGTCTCTCATGAATGGATAAATAAAATCATAAATAAATAAATAAATAAATAAATAAATAAAATGATCTTATATATCACTTAATACCAGTGGAAAAGTACTTTAAAAAAATAGTTTATGATTAAAACCTGACATTAAATCTTTTTAAAATTATTTTTTTAAAGATTTATATTTGAAAGGAAAAGAGAGAGTGCGTGCCCGTGGGGTGCGTGCATGCCTGGGTGCACACATGCGCAAGAGTCAGGGGAGGGCCAGAGGGAGAGAATCTTCAAGGAGACTCTCTGCTTAGTGTGGAGCCCAACTCCAGGGCTGGATCTCACGACCGATGCAATCATGACCTCAGCCTAAACCAATAGATGCTTAACTGACTGAGCCACCAGGCACCCCTTAAAATTACTTAGCTTCTATTTTGTACTTTTTAATTTACCCCATTTTAAATTTTATTCCTCTCTGTGATTTAAATGCAAAAAAAAGTAAATGTGTACCTAGTTTTAGTGGTAAAGAAACCTAATTAAATTGTCTTAGGGAGGCAAACCATAAGAGACTTAACTGTAGAGAACAAACTGAGGGTTGCTGGAGGGGAGGTGGGCAGGGAATGGGCTATATGGGTGATGGGCATTAAGGAGGGCACTTGTGATGAGCACTGGGTGCTGTATATAAGTGATGAATCGCTGAATTCTACACCTGAAACTAATCTTGTGCAATATGTTAACTAACTAGAATTTAAATAAAAACTTTAAAAAAATGTCTTAGAGCAAGGAGGTTCCTCAGAATATTAAACAGTATGGCCACTACCTCAAGGCAGGTAATGATATATAATCCCTTTTTTAAAATGCAATTATCCCTGCTAATTAATAGCCAAGAATACATAGATATTTGAAATGTGTGTTTGATCCTCAAGTAGGTTGATCCAGGATTTAATTATCTTTTGTAACAACAGGTTTTGCTCTAGTAAACAAAATTGAAAATGAGAACAAGAGACTTAAAAGATTAGATCATCTATCCCTGAACTAATAATACATTGTGTTTTCCTGGTATCATTTAAAAGTTAAACACATTAAATTTCTATTAACTTGGGAAAATTCTGTATAATATCCAGGTTTTAAAATAGGCAGTTAGTAAATTGTTTACTCGTATTTTAGATAATTAGGTCATTGTGTGAATGAGGTCACAGTTGCCAGTTCAGTTTCCTTTCCCATCACTAGTTTCTTTAAAGATTAAAAAAAAAAAAAAAATTACCATGGACAGCATTTGAGCTTACTCAAAAGCATGCCAAGGAAGATCTTGGTTTCTCAGAACGACTTGACAGAACACAGACAAGTAACTTTTTTAAGTTAATGTCTTCCTGCCATTGGGCTTCATTGTCTTTTTAAATAAAGCATAGTATATGTTTTGTGTATTTTAAATCTTTAAGTTTTGTGAAGTCATTTAACAAATACCATTTTGTAATTATAGCTAGGAGTACAGAATAGTAGGTCTGTTATTAATAGTCACATGTTCTAACAGGACAGACCACTTGTATGCCTTCTTCATTCAGTGGAGTCCAGAAATATATGCAGAAGATACTGGTGAATATACCAGAGAACCTGGATTTATAGTAGTGAAAAAGATTGAAGAATCTGAACCAAATGAGGATTCTACTAATGAAGCAGCAGCAGCCAGAGAATGGGAGGTAAGGAGAAAAATGTCAAGATTGCATTGATCTTTTTACTTTGTGTGAATTTATAGCTTTATGGTAGTATAGGCAAAGTACAAGTGATCTTTGTACAAATGAGTAATTTTTAAAGGTTTACTGTCCATGTGTTTATTGAATGAATCTCATTAGTAACCTTGGTTTTCTTTTTTTTTACTGTTTTCATTTTCCTTTTGCTTTATAAGAGGCAAGTGATCAGCAATAAAATGACTTTTACTGAGTGGATTTTAGAATATTAATTGCTGTTTTACTAATTTTTATAAAACATTTATTTCTGATCTGATTCATTTTAATATTACCTCCTGCATGGAGGAAGTGCACCAGTCATTTAATACATTCATGCCAATTAGCATTCCTATGAAGTCCATACCCAAGCATTATTTTGAAATGAATTTATAATAATGCTTAGGGAAGCTGATGCTGATTTTACAAAGTATAAAAATTTCATATGCTCAAATTTACTGAACTTGTTTAAATGGCCAAAATAACACTAATTAACTTTCTGTAACCTCCTAAAGAATCATCTTTTAATATTGCATATCATGTTTTTACATGCATTGTCATATCAAAATGATAAGGTGACAAAATCTGGTTTTTCTGTTCTGGTTGCCTGGACTAATGTCTTCTTGATGCATTAGAAAATATAGAGCAGATGCTAAAATGTGATATTAAACAGGATTAAATTTTGTCAATCATTTGGTGTTAATGTTTGTGGTTGTTTATGTGATATGAATTTATTGTGCGTGTACTTAACATGTATAATGACTGAAGGTATACATGGCATGTCTTTCAACCTGATTTTGAATTGTTTAAGTTCATTCTGTATAGTATATACAGCATCAGTTTCCACTGTGACTCCAATACAGTGGAGGGAAAGAGGTAACATATACTGAGCATTTATTTTGGGTTCTTTTAATACTTAAACCAACATTATTAATCTTCATACCAGCTTTATTCGTGATAGGCCCTAAACTGGAAACAACCTGAATGTCTGTCAGCAGAAGAATGGATAAATAAATTTGGGAATATTCGTAAAATTCCACATAACTTAGCAATAAGAAAGATCTACTTGCACAGGCAACAACATGGATGAATCTCATAGATATAATGTGTTGAATTAAACCAGGCCAGGTGTAAAAGAGTATATACTGTGTAATTCCATTTACATGAAGTTCAACAGGGCAGAACTAATCAAAAGTCCACCGTACCTGTTTCTAGGGGTTGACAGGGTCGCTAGGGACAGGAGGGAACTTTATAGAGTACTGGAGATACTTTGTATTTTTTCTGGTGATAGTTAGTTGCATGGGTGTTGACATATGTAAAATCCCTGTGTATTTAAAACTAACTTCAGGAGGCTTTTAAAATAGCTCAGATGATCAAAGATGGGTACTTGTACTAGGGTAGCAACAGTTGAAAGTAGAGTGGAAGGTGATGAAATTAAGTTTTTTAAACAGGTGTAATCTAAGTATTAAGAAAGGATTTCATGACAACTAGGTAACAGTGGAGTTTCTAACTTGGGTGGCATGGGGGGTTGCAATAATTTCAATCAAATAAGGGACTTTTCTCCATTGGGGTTGGAGCACTTTACCTTGGAAATAATAGACTATCACTATTGATTGATTATTGACTGTTTTGATTCAAAGGAACTGTCTCAGTTCTTGTGGCAGATTCTGCCAGTTATGATTTTGAAGAAAAAAATAAATGCCTCCTCACCTGTTTTCGACCAGAATTAATTCAAATAAAAAGGAAATGGTAGAGAAAAAAATTAATTTTATAAATTTTTTGCTGCATTGTCTAGGAACAGTACTGTACTATCTAATATGGTAGCCACATCTTTATTATGTGGTTATTGAGTACTTGAAATGTGGCTAATGCAACTAAGGAATTGAATTTTTAATTTTACTTACTGTCAGTTAAATTTTAAAATGGATACTTGATTCAGTTATTAGATAAGTTTTTTATACATTTGGAACAACTAGGATATATGAATTTACTTTTCAACTATAAGTTTTATGAAATCTAAATAAACCTAAATCTAAACAGCATCAGGTATTTCCTGTGAAAATTTAATGTCTGAATTGAGAGGTGCTGTAATGTAAAATATGCTAATTCCTATAGATTCAGTCACTATTTAACACTTTTGAAATGTGGTTAGTGTGAATTGAGATGTCCTGTAAATATAAAATATACACTGGATTTTAAAGATTTGGAATTAAAAGTAAAAAGTGTAAAATATCTTTAATTTTCAGTGACAGTATTTGATATATTGAGTTAAATAAAAATCAAAATTAACTTTTTTCTTTTTTAATGTAGTTATTAGAAAAATTATAATTATATATGTCTTGCATTGCATTTCTCTTGTACAATGCTGGTCTAGTCCCTGATGGTTACTAAGTGCCTAAATAAAAAGCATATTTTTTTTTATCCAAAGTCCATTGTTTATATTAGGGTTCACTCTTGGTGAACAAATGTATAATGACATAAAAAGTATTTTAAACGTTAATGTTTTAAAAAATGGAAGTTTTTTAGAGCCACTTATGTAAAGTAAAAGTACTTCAAAATGTGAAGTGCTTGCTGTTTTGGGGCTTTTTTGTATGTCAAGCTGGAGAATATGTGACTGGAGAATGTAGGATGAATTTATTATGGCTGCCAACTTGGACATCAGTCTGTTTGAGTAGAGCAGCTAGTGATACTTAGGAGATTAGTATCCCTAACTGCTATTTAGGCAGAAATATATTGCTATCCGGAAATTTATACATTGGGAAAACTTTTACATATGATTAATTTACTCTGCTCCAGTTTCTCTTCTGTGTCCCTCCTGTCCCTCTCCCAACGTAAGCGCCAGAGGGCAGGGTTTTTGTCAGTTTCATACATGACTATATCCTCAGAGTTAAGAACAATGCAAGGATATAATTCATTCTCAATAAATACTACATTACTGTTATTTACTCGATTAATGAATAAAATTTGGGCAAAGATTAAAATAGGTTATAAAACTTTTACTCATCTTCCAATATGGTCTACATCCTAAAGTAAGTTTTTATGTCAGTGTAGTAAATATTTTGTCATAAATTTATAGACTCTGGAAGTTGGAATTAACTGGCATTACTCTCATTTTACACTATTTTTGGTTCTGCTTTAACATAATTCAGTGATAGAGTTTATTACCTCAAAGAGCAGTACTTTTCATTTTAGGACAACTCTATTAGAAAGTTTTTACAGTGAGTTTAGAGAAATATATGTTTGTAAGTGTAGTCCATTTGTCTTTGTTCTACCTTCTGATGTACATCAACAACAAAAGTTTTCTATATACTATGATAGTCTGAAAATATTTATTACATTTTAATCTTCTTCCAGGGTTATTTTATCTGGTGCTTCCACTGTTTATTAACTCTTTGTAGATTCAACACTATCTTCATTATTACTCTCAAATATGTTAAAACTTAATTGAAACTATGGCACCCCAAATTACTAAAATGTGCACTTGGAATAGCAAGAAAAATTCTGTAACAGTTGAAACAATTTCAGTTCTAAAACATGGAAATTGAAAGCCCTATTGAAGATAATTAAAAAATACTGGAATTTAAGAATTAGAAATGATGAGAAAAGGAAGGAAGAAAGAAGTACAGTATTAGAGATTTGTATAGTGAATTCTGAGAGAGGTGAGGGCAGCAGAAGCCTGCAGTCACTAAGAGCAGGTTAGCCAAATTTTAAGGTGGTCAGGAATAAGAGCCTCTATTCTAAGATTCCTGATTATTGGAGAAAGAATCTGAGAAATACTGTGCATATAACTCAAGATGTGTAAGAGATTGATATTCTTTACCATATACTTTTTATTGTTCTAGTTTAGTCAATATAAAATAGCATAAAAACATTGGCTTACCTCAAGTTTGTTTTTTCCAACCATAATGAGTTCCTTAATTATGAATCCTTCTGATATTGGAGTTTAATAACCTTATGTTGCAACTGGAAAGCAACTGTTTATTATAGGTTATTTCCCCCTAGTTTCTGCCAGTGTCACCAGTGACAAGAAGCAGAGCATGTATAGTGAGGATAATGTTTTATGTGAGGCTTTGCGGTTTTGTGAAAAATGTTACTTTTTGATTTTTGATGGGGACTGTTTTTATAGATTTTCACTGACAAGGGAAGTATTCTAATGGCATTTCAACAAAGTTGTAGGAAGGTCTTGAGGTAAAGGTGGGGAAAGATATCTATTGACACTGTTCCCTCATGATAGTGCTATGATTTGATAAACGTACAAAAATAGAGATAAATAGTATTATGAATTTGCACATACCATCACTCAGCTTTATGAGCTTATTCATCTGTAATCCTTTCTCTTCCCCAGTTCAATTTCTTCAAATGTCCTAAGTATGTTTAAAATATATGTAATATGAAAAAGTTTTTACAATTTTTTATTTGAATCAGGAGCCAACTAAGCTCCAGATGTTTCAGTTAGGTAAAATGTCTCTTTTAAGTCTATAAATATAGGTTCTCTGTCCATTTCTTTGCTGTGATTTGCTTTTTTTCCTTGTAATTTTCATTTTTAAGAAATCAGATTTTTTTTCTAGAATGTCGTACAGTCTGGATTTTGCTGATAAAATCCTCACAGTGTTAACATATTCTCCTGCCTTAGATCTAGAGCAACCCATTTAATCATAGACTATCATCTTTTTTTTTTTAAGATTTTTTATTTATTTATTTGAGAGAGAATGAGAGAGAGCATTAGAGGGAGGAGGGTCAGAGGGAGAAGCAGACTCCCCGCTGAGCAGGGAGCCCAATGCGGGACTCGATCCCAGGACTCCAGGATCATGACCTGAGCCGAAGGCAGTCGCTTAACCAACTGAGCCACCCAGGTGCCCCATAGACTGTCATCTTTATTTTATTGAGAATTTCTCTAAGTTTATTTCTTTTTGGCTAAAATCCTCATAGTAACAAATGATAATAATCTGTCATTCAGAGCCAGTTGTCCTTTTCAC